GTGCCCGACCAGACCTCATCTTTAAAAAAAAAAAAAAAAAAAATGGATAAACCTGAGCCAGTCTGAGGACCGTGAAAGTACTTTCATTCTACTTTACCTGTGGAGGAAGCTGATCTTCCAAATTCCCCTATTTTGCTGTTGACTTGAACTGAGTGATAAAATACTATCCAAGCAAAGGAAGGAGAAAAAGGTTATGTCCCAGGTCCAGTTTAAAAATTGCCATCCTGTTTAACCTTGAGTAGTGATGGGATCATTTGACACCAATAATAATGTCAGAAATTTCTGTTTATGTAGCTTTCATCTTGAAGGTGTACCTAAATTGACATAAGATAGATCTTATGTTTCTGATTATTAGGTCAGCCTCAAAGCATAGTTATGCTAATTTCTAAAGAGCCTCACAATTTTATAAGTATTTTGTAATCAGAAGTAATGAAGCTAAATAGTATAGAGATATATTTAGGCATAGATTTTTTTTTATTTTTTATCAGATTTTTAAACCACAATGTTCTCTGTGTAATATACTCATGAATAGGCTAAGATGAGCATTTACATTTGGTTGTATACATAATTACAGTTATATCATTAACAGAAAATACATTCAGAGAACACCTAAGGAAAATTATTATTGGTTCTAAATGTTAAGCTCTAATTTAAGATAAGCGTTCTAAATAGAACGATTTTATTATTTCCTGAAAAGTGCTTAGAAGACAGAAATGTGTAGTTTCTTTGTGGCTGTTTGATTCTACATTTTACAGCATTACAACAACTTCAGAGTAAAGTCTTTTTAGCAAATACTTGATGTTTCCAGTTTTCATTGGTTTTATTTTGCATTCATGGAAGGTATATAGCTAGCAATTGTCTCATGACATAGATATACCTGCTCAGCTAGATTAAATTTTTCCCAGGTTTTAGCTTTGCCATACGGGGCTTATTTTTATATATACCTGCTTAGCTAGATTAAATTTTTCCCAGGTTTTAGCTTTGGCACACATGGCTTATTTTTAAATTGTGATCATAGAATTGTCTAATCTAAGGAATTTGCTACTGATCTGTTTGGGAGTTTTCTTTTCAGAATACGTAAGGCCTGAATTTATCTCTTAGAAAAGCTATTACAGCTTTTTAAATAAATTAACTTATTCATTTGGCAAAGAGTGAGTACCCTAAGGTCCAGATACTGTTCTAGACATTGAGGCTATGGCAGTAAAAAAAAAGTGTTCCTGCCCCTATGGAGAATATCGTTCATGTAAGATGCTTGTGTTAGTAAAGCCACTCTTGCCCTTTGCTGCATTATTTCTTACTAACTTTCTATTCTCAGAAAGTAAATGAGTGGTTTTGGACTAGAAAAGCCTACGTTGCTAAATGTCAGGCACTATCAGAGAGCAACTGTTGTATTACTCCCCATTTAAGTTATTACTGACTAGAGAATGTATAAAACACCCGACTTTGACTCTTGTCTATTCAAGAGCAGTTTTCCAAATCTATTAAATTTTAAGCCTAGATTTTACTTTTACTTCATGGAATTATTTACGAGAAAGATGTTTAGAAACATTTTGGTTTTTTGCATTTACTTTATTACTTTGACACTTGTAAACCATGGTGGTTTTTTGTGATTTAAGCAGTTGCAGTATGATTCTTTCCAAGTTTATTTTAAAAAGGATTGGGGGCTATATAAGAACGGATAAAATATAGTTCTGTTGTAGTAGAAAAAACAGACACACTGTATATATCATAAGAAACCTGTATCTAAGTCTTAAAAGCAATGTGGAAGGTAGCAGGTAGCCTCGTGTCATCAAAAGGCTTTGTTGAGGAAGTGACGTTTAATCTGTATTAAAGGTGAATGGCCCATGGTTAGGGGAGGGCCTCAAGAAGTATAAGGGCATAATATATCATAAACAAGGGAAGTAAGTGATTTGAGGAGGTTGAAGTATATAGACGTATGCAGAGCAGTATTTTTAAAACTTTTTTTTAAAAGATAAGTTTGAAGAGTTAGTTCAGGACCCAGTACTAACGCTATTTGGATCTTGTCTCATTGGCAGTAGAAAAGTGTAAAGATCTAGCAAAAAAAAAAAAAACAAACAGTAAAACTTGATGATCAAGTTGGCAATAAGGAGCAAAAAATAGAAATCAAAGGTGACTGTAGTTTCTGGCACAATTGCTGTGTACAAAGAGATGGAGGTAAGGTCTGGAAAGGCTAAGAGGACGTTGAGTGTCATGTAAAGGTGACATCATTTTTGGGAACACTGCTTTCAAAAAGAATGACCTTACTCTACAAATTATTAGGATATCTTCAGAGTGAAATTGTATGCTAGTGAAAAATAGTAATATTATCCTTCCAGAATACATAATCTGTGGAGTAGACCTTACTTTACTTTATGAGGTTCTAGACTAGACTTTCTAGAAAAGTTTCACCATTACAAATAGTACATTTATTATAATAAATGATAAGTTTATTGTCACTGCTTCTTAAACCTAACCTAAATCATGAAAACTTCCAGAACAAGCTTTTTGGTTTTATGCAAAAATGTACATCAGAGATTTGCTATAAGTCAATTGTATTTTTAATTTGATACAGACCTTGGAAAGTTACTAGGCCTGTTTTCCCATCTGAAAGTGGAAATCAGAACAGGAATGATATTGCATGGTTGTAAAGATTAATTTGAGTTAATACATGTCAGCTACTTAACATAGTGCCTGACACCCAGAAAATCACTCCTGTGTATTATTCAAGTATTTTGAGTTTCAGCTAGAACATTCAGGTCAATATGCTGAAATGATTCAATGAACATAAGAGGTGTTTAGGTTCCACATGTCTGGTAATAGTTACCTGTATCATATATTAATTTTTTTTTTGTTTATTCAACAGCTTCTTTTAACCAAATTCCTTAAAAAAAATTTTTTTTTTTAAAGACAGGGTCTTACTCTGTTGCCCAGGCTGGAGTGGGAGTGCAGTAGCACACAAACGTAGCCTTACGGCAGCCTTGAACTCCTGAGCTCAAGGAATCTTCCTGCTTCAGCCTGCTGAGTAGCTGAGACTCCAGGCATGTATCAGCCATAAAATTTCCCATATTTCCGGGGTATACTTTAAATGTAATATTAGCTATACATTCCCAACAGGCCACACACCACTAAACACAAGGGAGCAGATAACCAGTCATGTTTGTTAATATTTCTTTTGATATAATTGGATACTGGAAGAATATGAGATCTCAGGAACTTAAGATATTGTTGACTTATTTCTGTAGAAATTACCCTCAAATCGAGATACAGTTTTAACCTTTCTCCTAAGCTGTAAATCTTGGTTTCCAGCTGTCTTCATTTATACATCTCATTAAATCTTAAGCTCAAAATGTCTAGATTTCATTACACTGCATATATTTCTTCCGGGTGTGTGTGTTTCAAATTAAACGGACTGACTGTTCCTGGCATCTAGTAAACAGTCACAAATGATGATACTCATTTTCTATTACTGGCACTGTTGTTCTATTAAGCCAGGGTGTAAGACCTTGTAGCCCACCATCTTTGACTAATTCTTGACTTCTACCTTGCACCCTACCTTGCATAATTGACATCCACAATGAGTCTTCCATCTGTCCTTTCTTCTCCATTCCTTTTAGGTAATTATTTACCAGTGTCTATAGTAGAGTTCATTTCCTTCCCCCAAAATGGATGTAATTTCCTTATTTTAGAACCTTAAAAGTGTTTTGCATTCTCATAGGTTCCTATAAGTTTGACTTATTTTATCCCAATAAAACTTAAACCATATGATGGTTAAATCCCTTTTGAAGACAGTGGTTGCTGTAGGCATCTTCATCTTTTTATTTCCTACAGAGTTGTGTCGGTGACTTTTCCACGGTAAATGTTCAGTCTTAATTTTTTAATAAGTAATGTGCAAATTCATTAAAAATATATATGCCTGCTGAGTGCTAGGTATTGATGTCACATTAATACCCTTAAGCAGGGCTTGGACAACTTTTCCTATAAATAGCCAGATAGTAAATATTTTCTGGCTATATGGGCCATTTAGTCACAATTAGTCAGTTCTACCATTGTAGCACATAAGCAGCTATAGACCACGTAACTGAATGGACATAACTAGAATGGACTACAGTCCAGTAAAACTTTATTTACAAAAACAGATAGTGGGCTGGATTTGGCCTCCTGGCTGTAGTTTGCCGAACCCTGCTCTAAAGGGTTTTTTATTGGTTATTAGTGACTGTATATCATGTAAACAGTTAGGGGCTTCAGTTCTGAACATGTGAAATGAGAGAGAGAGAGAGAAGATTGTAACAAGGGCCCAGACCAATTTAAAGTTGCTTCAGAAAGTTGTAGTACCTGCTCAGTCAGAGGTCAGGCTTTTTGATATATGAACTTGACCTAAAGTATCAGTAAAGATTGCAAGTTTATATTTTTCATTTATTCAGTTAATTTTCATTGAGCCCCTTCCATGTGCCAGCACAGTACTAATCCCTAGGGATATACAGACATCTAAAAGACTAGCCATCAAAGAGCTCACAGTCTAGGTGAGAAGACTGATATGTGATAAATACTGCAATAGATAGATACTTAAAATACAAGGCATAAAATGTGCCCAGTGGAGGGCATGGGCTTCTTTGCATAGACAGTCCGGACTTAATCATTTCTTGAGGGAAGGACAACCATTATGTTTCCAGAATTTTTCATATAAAGCCAAGAATTTAGATTTAAACCCAAACCCAGTTTAAAGTATTATCTAAACTTCGATTTCATAGATATCACAAAAAATTTTACTGTTCATGAGCATATTATTCTGTTGTACTTGCACAGAGTCTGTTAGTCGTTTCCTCCTGTGCTGGTTTTAGTTAATAATTTTGGAATGCTTTTTGTTTGAAAAGCAACCACCAAAAGTATGAGCTATTTCTCTTGGATGATTTTATTTCCATGCTTGAGAGGATGTTTTTAAATTTTAAAAACTAAGGTTATTTTACTTTCTTTGGATCTTTATGGCTCTTCAATATAAAATATTTTAAAATTATTTTCAGTGAAATGGAGAGGTAAGATGCTTTTTCCTATCCCCTTTTTGAGAAATTGATTTTACCTGTGTAAAGGCCTCAGATGAGGACAACATGGCCTCTTTTGGCTTCCACCCACTCACTAGCAAGCAAAGACCCCCTTTTATTACTGGCCAGTTATTCTTCCTTTCTGTAAACCTCTCCCCAGTGGAACATGTTATCTGTATTTCTTTTCTTTTCAGAGCAGTACTTCTCAGATTTCAGCATCCACCATAATCATTTAGGGCAGTTGTTGAAAATGTTATTTCCAAACCACTGTTAGGGTTCTGGTTTAGTAAATCTTACATAGGACCCAGAAACCTACATTTTTTATAATCTCTGCCTCCCAAGGGTGACCCTGATATAAGTTAACCCTGGGACGACACTTTGAGAAACACTGGCCAGGCTGGTAAACTCTTTGAGGACATTTTTGGTTCCCATACAGTATCTAACATGTGTTTGATATAGTAAGTTTTTGGTAGATATTTGTTCAGTTGAGCTGTTGAAATTGTATAAAGAAATATGTCAACTGATAGTAGAATGGATTTGGTTTTTTTTTGGAATCACATTTTTACCTCCTTAAAGATATTAGTCTGTGCACTTTGCTTAATTGAACTAGAAATGGAAAACTAGATGACTTTGTTTTAGACTTATGGTGAATAATTGAACAATATACTTTGAAGATACTCTAAATAAGAAATTAATTAGAGGTCCATTAAAAGTTAGAACTTAAAAATTATTTTGAGAATAGTACAGAATTAAATATATACTGAAGAACACTGAAGGAATTCCAGAATTTCTAAGAACAGTGTTAACTATTTTCAGATGTCTTTTTTTATGTAAATAGCCAGAAACCATTTCTGCCTAAGATGCCCTGAAAATAAATGTGATGAAGAATTAGTGAAGAATAGGAGCTTGCTCTCTAGATAGGATTATATAAATTTCCTCTTGTTTTCCTTTTGAAATTTGATTCTGTTCATGGATACCAAGTTGATAAATGGGGGAAATCATTTAAGAATCATTGGTAAACAACCATACCTTTAATAGAACATGCTATCATCAGTGCTCGTCCATCATGTTAAGAGATAGTTATTCCAAAAAAAACTTCCTTTGTTTGTAATATATTTGTGTTATTTTGATCAATTTGGTGTTAATAATAGTTAAAATTATTCAGTTCAGAAGAAATTTTATTATTTAAAACATAAAGGTCATAGGTAATGAAATTAAATTTTACATACACATTTTTATTGGAGAGAAGGTCAAGTATAAACATACTATTTGGGATATTGACATCCTACAAGTTTAAGTAGCTGTAAAGAGCATAATTTATGGTACAGTGTGAATACTGATGATTTAAAATGAAACATAGCACCCTTGAGTAAATTCACTAGACTGTAAATACCATGCTAATTTAACACCAATATCATCCATTTTAGAAAAATATATGAATAATGGCCATGTGTGGTGGCTCACACCTGTAATCCCAGCACTTTAGGTGACTGAAGCTGGCAGATCACTTGAGGCCAGGAGATCAAGACCAGCTTGACCAATATGGCAGAACCCTGTCTGTCTACATACAAAAATTAGCCAGGTGTGGTAGTGTGTGCCTGTAATCCCAGCTACTTGGAAGGCTGAGGCACGAGAATCACAGGAGAACTGGAATGGAAAACAAGGTCAGAGAGCAAGTAAGAGTTCTAACTTAGAAAGAAGAGCTTATATATATAAGTTCAAGCGAGACTCAATATTCAGTGCACCATAAATTCTGTTCTTTGCATCTACTTAAATTTGTAGGATGTTAATTTTAAAATGTACAAAAGTATCGGTTTTTCACAGTTATTTTAGGTTATGTGTAAGCAAAAAATGTGAAGATCCTGAGTAAGTTTTCCCAAACATACACAAAAATTGTTTCTAGCAAGAGTGATTTAAAATCAAGGTTAAATCTGGGAGCTAATAGTTATCTTTATAGAATATAGTAGGTATGAATGACAACCTTTTATTGAGTGCCTTACTACTATTTAGGTACTCTGGTAAGCACTTTATACATAATGTAATTATATTATACATTATAAGTATATTATAATTAAATGGATA